TAGGTGAATGCATGAATGGGTCAATATTAACTAAACAAACTTAGGATGTTAGCCTAACAGGTTATACAAAGCGGGGAAGAAAATAAAATTGGCTGAAAACTTGGCATTATATGACACATCCAGATAAATAAATTATTGAAACAAGTTCAATTCAGCAACGAGATTGATTGAAAACTTGGGAGTAACAGATGAAATTTACGGATGTATGAAGTTTAGAAGTCATACCATGGAACATGCCGCTATCCACACTTCCATTAAGTTGAGAAGTCACTCAACATCGTTGCAATCTATGTACATATATACATATGTATGCACGTATGTATGTATGTATTTATGTATTTATGTATGTATGTAATGACATGTATGTATATAGCACATATGCAGCTATGTTTGATATGTATGTATGTGTATGTGTATGTATGTATTTATGTATGTATGACATGTATGTATATAGCACATATGCAGTTATGTTTGATATGTATGTATGTGTATGTATGTATGTATGTATTTATGTATGTATGTATGACATGTATGTATATAGCACATATGCAGTTATGTTTGATATGTATGTATGTGTATGTATGTATGCATTTATGTATGTATGTATGTATGACATTTATGTATGTATGTATGACATGTATGTATATAGCACATATGCAGTTATGTTTGATATGTATGTATGTGTATGTATGTATGTATATACAGGGATAACAAGCAGCTAATATTTTCCCTAATTGATTACTAAAATCAAACTACAAAGACTCAACAATTGGAGAATTACGAAAAATCATAACTCGCATAATTAAATGTTAACTTTCCTTTGACTTGTAGTATGAGCTAGTTTCATGTCTTGGCGAAGCTAATGAAATTGTGGAGCTGCCTCTCAAAATAAACAAACTTTCCGTGTGAGTAAATTTCTACAGAGATGTTGATACCTGTTTCAGACTGAGCAAGTGATTTTCAAATGTATATTTAACTTGCTTTCTACCTGCATTCTAGCTTCAGTAATGCCCAAGCAATTCAGCATAATCAAGCTAAACCAGAACCACAGAACAGCAGGCTCAAGACCCACAAACCATATAGCTAATGCTTACCTAAAAATGTTAAAAGGAAAAAAAACTAATTCTGGACGAACTAAATTAATCTGTAGTTTAAAAAAAAGAAACTAAAATACATGCGATGCAAAGTAAACTTCCTAAATTTGATTGAAGGGCTTATAAGTCAAACATTAGGCTAGTGATATTACTTTTACTCAAGTGGTTTTGCTATTCAAAATAGTTTCAGACTGAACCATGACAAGAATTTAAACGTGATCAGAGCATGTAATAGTAGTCCTAAAGCAGGGGTCCAATGTAATAAGAGGCTTGGGTTTCCAAAAATCAAAACAACTTGTACCATTTTGCAAATATTTACCTCCAGCTAGAAAGCTAGAAAACAAACTTATGATTGTGATTGGATGTTCTAAGAAAGAAATCCCTTTGCACTGCCGAAGCCCTAAAATCCACACTACAAAGATCGATGAGGTCAAAATTCGGTCTTCAAACAATCAATGATATCTTGTAGAGAGTTTACGGATTGTAAGCTTCATATAACCGTCAATAAAATTAGAATTCACGGGAAACCTAAAAAAGGACACATCTTTCAGCTAGAAAACCAAAAGGAATGCTTGCTCTTAATTATGAAAAGAAAAACTACAATTCTGTCAAAATAGTAAACAATTCTGGGAGAAAATTTACCAGCAAAAGGTTTTGAAAAGAAATTGGGGCAAGAATCCTGAAGTTTGAGGGCAAATCGTCTCCGCTAAGAAGAACTCCCCCCCATTTTCAAAAGTAAACCCAAAATTTATTTTCGAAAACCCTAATCGAGATTTGAGAGAGAGAGAGAGACTAATCGAAAACCCTAATCGAGATTTGAGAGAGAGAGAGAGAGAGAGAGAGAGAGAGAGCCTGAGCTAGGTTTTATTTTATACATGATCGTAGATTGATTTCGCGGGTAATACACAAAGACCGTCACGCCTTCTGCACGTGATTATTTCAGTCCCGCCGCTTTATTAGTTTCCTAATTAATGTTTCCGATTAAAAAGCAAGACGACCGTTGTTAGCCTCGATAAGTTTCTTGATCGCCAAGGCTTTGACCCGTTTTAGAGAAAATCTTAAAAAAAAAGTAATCATTAGATTTTCATTTTTTTTCTAATAATTGTCTTTGGAAATATTTGTTAAAAGTTTTCTTGCTAGAGAAACCGATTATTAGAGTAATAACCGTGAGTCTGAAAAATGATGAGAAGAAGGTGTGTACGTTGAAGGTATTTTAGATACTTGACTACCAATGAACTGTCAATTTTAGATAATCATAAATAAATTATAATAGCTTGTCCTTCATTGACTGGGAGAAGATTATTTATTTATTTATTTTTATTTTATTTTTTTTTTGAAGAGGAGGGGGTATGTGCAAGAATATTTGTTGTAATCTCATGCTTTTAGCTTGTGATGATGATGATGACTAATTAGGCGGCAATGAAAGAGGGTCTAATTTCTCTAGAACCTCCATTTATTTTAAACTTTAGAGGACAGGATTACACCACATAAGGATTTTCAGTTATATTTGCAGCGGCAGTTTGCACGAAACAATGATGGCTTTTAAGAGAATTGTTTTCTCAAGATAATATAAATAGTGAAAACCTTAGATGATGTAAAAGACTGTCCTTTGGAATTAGGATAAATAGACACTATCCATTTAACACATAATTAAAAAGAATCCGAATAAAGATTTAGTACATAACTTTAAAAAAAAGGTTTCATGACTGTTGTTATTGGAATTATATTCTCCCATGGTTTTATTATGATAAAGATATCAGTTCATATTGGTATAATAAAAATTTTCAAATATCCGCACAGAAGGATTAAGAATCGTCCCGTAAAATGTTTGCATCGTGTTCTCTATTTATGTAAAGTACTATTGTAGAATTTACAACTCCAACTAATCTAGATACATGAAAAAAAAACAGTTGTTAATTTTCTTCGTTTTTGATACGAGTTGTCGTGCGAGCACCTTTGATCGCGGAATTATCAAAGGTGGGTTGAGAAGAGGATGACAGAAACACAAGCACAATTCAGTATATGGCGAAGAAAAATACCTTCTCTAGATTATGAGTATGAAAAGATTACAATCTCTCTCTCACAATCTCACTAGAATCGAGAACAAACTCTCAATTCTCACTAAACCCTAATACAAAGATTAGAATCTCTTTTTGAATCTATCTGATTCTATCTGATTGTTTAAAAACCCTAAAACAATCATTTATATAGGTGTACATCGTGGATGGCAATTTGGTAAATAACCAGACCCAAAACCAATAGGAATTCGTGTGAACAGAAACCCAAACGAACCAGGAAACCATCGATGAGTCGACTCATGACTGAGATGAGTCGACTCGTTCAGAAAGCGTGGAACGAGACGACGAGCAGAAGAATCGAAGTACCCAGTTTTCAGCCTGTGAGTCGACTCATGACTGTTATGAGTCGACTCACAGGCTGAAAACTAGATACTTCGATTCTTCTACTCGTCGTCTCGTTCCACGCTTCCTCCTGCGTTCCCTTGTACTGTTTGACACCTCTATTCTCATGCTATCATGAGAATCATCTATCCTCAAGCTCCCATGATGATCGCTAAGTTCCGAAGAGAAGATACACCCGTATCATGGGTCCCCTCTTTAAGAACTTGAAGTCCCATTCAAGTTAGAACCTTTGCTGAGAAAACTCTCGAGCTCCTCCATCTTTTCTGCACCACCTAACCTTACTAGGAATCCGGTCTCGACGTCTGATCAGAAACAACTCATTCGTCCTGCGTCTCGTCATAGTCACCGTTCGCTCTAAGTTGCAATCCTTTGTCGATGGCTTTTCTGGAAGCCTAATGCACAGCGAGACAAACTTCTTGCTTGCATTCACTAGTCTCTTCGCTCGCGTCACCGTCCCCAAGCTTGTCTCATTCGGAAGAGATGCCGAACGAAATATGAACTTTACACTATCCTTAGTGAAGGTGTACTTCTGAGCCCACCTCTCGTAGATCGCATATCTATCCCATAAGTACGGATTGCCCAGTATAATCTGACAAACATCCAATGGAACGACGTCGCACGTGACCTCGTCAATATACGACTCGTGGAGCGCAAATCTGACAGTGCATTGATCAACTACACTCAGTTTCTCCTCCTTCTGAATCCACCCCAATGGATAGGGCTTCGGATGCTTGACTGTTTTTAGACCCAACTTCTACACCAATACCTCGGATATTAAATTCTTCTCGCTGCCCGAATCAACAATGGTATCAACCAAACTGGTCTTCACTTGCAACTTAAGAACAAAGAGTTGCTCTCTCGGGCCGTCGTCCTCTTTCGTGGTCTGCTTCCCCGTCATAAGGTTGAGACTGTTGTTGGGTTCTGCCATCCCCGGGACTTCTTTTGGACCTTGAGCTATCATGTATGCATTTTTCTCCTCCTTCTTCTTCAACCCTCTTGGCTTGAGATGATGATACTTCTCCCAGCACCGATCAGCTGTGTGCCCTGTCTACTCGCAGTGACTACAAATCAGTCCTGCCTTCCCTGGATCACCCTTCTTCTTCTCCTTCTTAGATTGAGAACTACTAGACTCGCCTCCCGTCTGTTTGGAGTCTCCCTTAGCCTCGTTGCCCTTCTTTTGCTTGCCCTCGAGGGCAATAACCTTTACGCTCGCCTCTGCAATTGATTCCACCGTGAATAGCTTCATCTCCTTTCGGATGTAATCGCTCAATCCCGCCATATACTTCATAAATACGGAATATTCCTTTGTCGCAATGTTGAGGACTATCACCTACTGCTGAAACTCCGTAGTGTATTCTTGAATGGTTTGATTGACCCTTTGGCGCAAGCCGTACCACTTGTATTAACGTTCTTCAAGGAA